GACCCGTCCACCTGCCACTGTGAGAGGCGCGGCGCGGGCGGGCCCATGGCGTCCGCACCCCGCGGCTCCCTGGGCCTCCTGCTCTGGCTCCTGCTTCTCCAGCCTCGGCTCCGTGGGGCGCAGGGCGGGTCCGCGCCGCCCCCACCCTCCCCGGCGCCCACCTCCTGGTCGTCGTCGGGGGGGCGGCCGCGAGGGCCCCGGCGCGAGCCTGGGGAGGGTTGAGGGACCGTCTGCGACCCCCGGGCCCCAAGAGGCTGCCGTACTCTCCCAGTTGGTGGAACTGATCCCAGGTGACGCCTCGTTTTGGGAGCCTCGCAGGGGGCTGAGGCCCGCGAGTGGGAGCCTGTGCTCCCGGGGAGTCTGGGGGAGTCAGGGGTCTCCGCCTCCCCCGCCCCGAGGGTCTGAGGAATGCAGCCCCACTTTTGGAGTCTGAGCGGGACGCCATGTGGCCTTGGAGGTCTGCGGGTACAGGGCCTGGGGACTCGGCAGCTCTGCCCTGGAGTCTTAGAGGCCGAGGCCTTCCCCCCCCACCCTCGTCCGAGGGGCACCTGGTGCTCCCCTGGGAAGCCCGGACTCTTGTTTCTTTGAGGTTCTTCCTCCCACGCTGTTCTCACCCCAGGGTGTGGCCAAGTAGTTGCGAAAATCTTGGGAGGAAAGGAGGCCGAAGAGGGGAAGTGGCCTTGTCAGGTGAGCGTGAGGATCAACGAGAAACACGTGTGCGGAGGCTCCCTCATCACCTAGCAGTGGGTGCTGACTGCAGGCCACTGTATTTTAAGGTGAGGAGTGACAAGTAGAGACAGAGTTCTGAAGCCGGCCCTGCTCTCCTCAAATACCCATTAGGTTCTGTTGCCCTAGCAACTTGACAAAACCCAAACCCAGCCCAACCCAGGGGAGGTGCGGACCGTCGAGAAACGGGCCAGGTTGGGCACTGGCCATCTCATTACTAGGAATACTAATTTGGTGAACAAAACGGATCGTTTGGATGAGCATACCAATGTCGAGAGGCGTTAAGGAGGGCTGTTTGGTGATAGGGCGGTAGAAAGAGTGGTGAGGGACGTTGGGGCCAGGCTGGGAAGCATCTGCAATGTGTGGAAGAGGTCTCTATGAGCGGCATGTCCTCTCTCCCACAGCCGATTCCACTACAGTGTCAAGATGGGAGATCGGAGTGTCTATAAAGAAATCACCAGTGTTGTGATCCCCGTCCGAAACATCATCATCCACCCTCAGCTCTCAGTAGTCGGAACCGTTCAAAAGGACCTTGCCCTACTCCAGCTCCTCTACCCTGTAAACTTCACCGTGACCATCCAGCCTGTATGCATCCCTCAGAAGACTTTCCGGGTGGAGGCTGGGACCACGTGCTGGGTGACCGGATGGGGCAGAAAAGAAGAATATGGTGAGACTGTGAGTCGGGTAGCATACCCAGGAAGAGGGAGGCAGCCCAACCATGAAGTAGGCGAAAAGGCTATAGAGAGGGACAGGGAGGCGGACTGCCTGGCAGAGGGGGAAGGAGGGGGGTGCAGTTTAGCAGCAGCCAGAGTAATGGCTCCTGATTGGCTTGAGCCTAGAAATTCGTAGACGTCTTTTGTTGCAGCACAAATATTTCATGGTAGCCGTTTAAGGAAAGGCACGGGTCCTGGGGACTGGAGCTGCTCTCAGGAGAAGAGACACCTGGGTGAAGTCTTTCTGTAAATTTGTGAGGGACCATGCCTGTCTGGTGTGGGGGTATTTTTAGGTTCCCTGGGGACGGAGCCAAAGGCTTTGGAGTTCTCTCCAGGGTGGATTTCTGCTCAGCAGGTGATGAGTTGTCTGCCCGTCGGAGCTGTCCGTCTCCGAAAGTACGGGCCTTGCTTGTCAGGGAGCTTCCTGTGCTTTTAGGTATAGGCAGAGCCAGGTCTCTGTTGCTGAGGCTGGAGGGCCTCCTATCTCTGGGAAGAGGCTGGGTTGGTAACCCTGGGGCACTACCACTTCGAGAGTCCGTGATCCTGCTCAAAAGTAAAGACACTTTACTGATGCACAGGATACCTGTCACTATTACTGTTGATACTCAGAGTAACAAATGCTTGATTATCATTTCTCAGGCTGGTGAGGAGGCCTTGCCCTCTTCCTGTCCAGATTGGCTCTTCTTTATGCTATCTTGATCTTATTGGTTCTTACCTCCTTTTCTCCCCCTGTCTACTTTGGGCCTCCGTTTCCTCCAGTGTCAAATGGGGACAATACCCACTGCCCTGCTTTTTTCAAAGGGGATTCTAGGTGCCGAGGGGCTTACTGTCCACCTGGGCACAACCACCCACTGCTGAGTTTCTTCCCGTGTAGGCAGCGACCCCATTACAGCTGTTCTCCATGAGGTCGACCAAGACATCATGCAGGCACCATGAAATGTGTAATATGATGATTCAGAAAGCCATAACAACAAAGAAGAGTGTAGTACTGGAAGGGATGCTCTGTGGCTATAAAGAAGCTCCCAGCCTTCCTCATTCATGATGCTTTTTAAACTCTAGCTTCCTACTTCCTCCCCTCTAGAGTGAGAGCGGAGGCCCTCATCTACTCTGATACGAGTCCGACAGATGGTCTTAGCACTTGGGTCTCGCTGCTGTGCCCCTCACGGCCACCAGCATCTCCGCAGCTGAGTTTGCTGACCATTGCATCTGGGGACGAGGACGTGAGAGAGAGTGGACGCAAGAGAGAGTTCAGGGCAGTGCCCGCAAACTGCAGCCCTTACTTTCTGCTTTGAGCACCAGATTGCCTTGGCCTGGCTCTGAAGAACACGGGGCTGAGGCTCGGGGAGAGGACAGGCTGAGCGCTCACCGTGTCTGTGCTGGCTCATTTCCCTCATTCTCCTGCGGTCCCAGAGTAGCCGTCTGTCACGATGCGGAGCATTTACCCCACTGCTCCTGATTTCCTTCCCTGTTCTTGAAACTTTGAGGTTACTTTCTTTTAGCAGGGGATTAGTGCCTTTTGCATGTGAGAAGAAAGAGCCTGGGAATATTTAGGTGAATAAAGAAGTGGACTGGGGTCAGGATCCATAACTATCACCTCTGACACCATTCATCCCCTTCCTTCTGGATATATACCCAGTCAGAATAAAGACTGTATTTCCAAGTCCCATACATCTAAGTGTGGCACTAATTCTGGCCAATAAAATATAAACTGAAATGTTGGGTGTGAATTTGGGGAAATATCCTTAATGGAGGACAAGCTCTTCTTCAGATCTCTTTCTTCTCTCCTGGCTGGAATGTGTACATGGTGACCGGAGCTTGAGCACTGATCTTGGGACACAAGGAACATGCTAAAGGTATGGAGCAGGAATTTAGAAGGAACTTGGCTCCTTGGAATTTGTAGGGCCGCAATCATAGCTCTTCATGCAACAGAGGAAGAAACTCTTTTTAATTAAGCCATTGTCATCTTCTGTCTCAGTTACTTATAGAAAAACCTCATTCTAACCAATTCAGTGGGTATCATGTGGAGCTTTATTTCTGGATTGTTATATGAATATAAGTTTTTAAACTCATTTATTTAGACTAATTTTTATTTTTTTTTAGGGAGGGGGCGAGGGGCAGAGGGAGAGGGAGAGATAGAATCTTAAGCAGATTCCCTGCTGAGTGCGGAGCCCAATGCTGGGTTCCATCTCAGGACCCTGAGATCATAACCCGAGCTGAAATTGAGAGTCGGACACTTAACCAACTGAGCCACCCAGGTGCCCCTAGACTAAATTCTTTTTAATTCCCACTTCACTATACACCATTGCTTCCTTTTCTATTCATTTTTAAAAATTGATGAGGTTAAAAGCTTATGTTGATGAATGACTGTTCTTTCTTAATGCATTTCTGTATTATTATTTTCTTTATTGGGGTGTAATTTATATATAGTAAAATGTACACATGGCAATATACAATTTTATGAGTTTTAACAGAGGTATACCCCATGTTGCCATCTCCAAATCATGATCGAAAATATTTGCATATCCTGGATTACCAGGATATTCTCTTATGTCCCTTTCTAATCATCCCCTCCCAGAAGTAACCACTATTCTGATTATTATCAGATTATTTGCATGTTATTGAACCTCATATTTTTTTTTTAAGAGAGGGAGGTGGGAGGGGCAGAGTGAGAGGGAGAGAGAGAATCTTAAGCAGGCTCCACACCTAGCAGGGAGCCTGATGTGGGACTCGATCTTCCAACCCTGAGATCATGACCTGAGTCGAAGGCAGACGCTTAACTGACTGAGCCACCCAGGCACCCCTAGTTCATTCCTTTTTATTGGTGAATAGTAATATTCTTACATGAATATTCCACAGTTGGTTTATTCTCCTGTTGATGGACATTTGGGTTGTTTGCAGTTTGGGGCTATTATGAACGAAGCTGCTAATAAGCATTCTAGTACAAGACTTTTTTGTATCTATATGCTTTCACTTCTTTGGGGAATAAACCTAGGAGCAGAACTGCTGGCTCATGAAATTGATGTATGGTTAATGTTATTAGAAATTTCCAAAGAGTTTTCCAAATTATTTGTTTTTGTTTTTGTTTTTTTAAGATTTTATTTATTTATTTGACAGAGAGAGACACAGCGAGAGAGGGAACACAACAAGTGGGGGTAGTGGGAGAGGGAGAAGCAGGCTTCCCGCTGAGCAGGGAGCCCGATGTGGGGCTCGAACCCAGGACCCTGGGATCATGACCCGAGCCAAAGGCAGACGCTTAACGACTGAGCCACCCAGGAGCCCCCCAAATTATTTGTACCGCTTTATGCTATTCCCAGCAATAAATGAGAGTTCCAGTTGATCCACATCCTCATCAGTCCTCACGCTTTTTTTGTGTGTGTGTGTGTCCAATTCTAATAGGTATGAAATGGTACTGCATTGGGGTTTTTATTTGTGTTTCCCTATAACTAATGATATTGAGCACCTTTTTATGTGCTATTGGTCGTATGCATATCTCTATGAAGTATGTTTTCAGTTCTTTTGCCCATCTTTAATTAGGATGCTTATTTTTTTATTGCTGACTTCTAAGAAGTCTTCTTATATTCTGAGTGGAATCCTAAGTCTGTGATTTTTTCACTTTTTAGCTGGGGGCTGTGAAACTTTTCTTCTATTTTTTCTCCTAGAAGCTTTATGATTTTAGCTTTTACATTTAGGTCTATGGTCTATAAATTAATTTAGGAGCATGGTATGAGATATAAGGATGAAGTATATTTTTCTGTATCTTTAATGTTTATCCAGTTCCAGTACCATTTGTTGAAAATACATTTATTTTCACATTGATTTGCACTGGTACTTCATCAAAAATTGACAGCATATATGTGCATCTTTTTATGGATTCTCTATTTAGTTCCTTATCTATTTGTATATATATCTTTGTTTATCTATATATTCTTATGCCAACTTTACAGTGTCCTAGTTACTGTAGCTTTTATAATTAGTCTTGAAATTCAGTCATGTTACACCTCCCAATTTTTTCATGTTTTTCAAGGTGGAGTTTTGTGTAGAAACTGACAGGTTGATTCTTTTTTTTTTTAAGATTTTTAAAAAAAATTTATTTGACAGACAGAGACACAGCGAGAGAGGGAACACAAGCAGGGGGAGTGAGAGAGGGAGAAGCAGGCTTCCTGCTGAGCAGGGAGCCTGATGCGGGGCTCGATCCCAGGACCCTGGGACCATGACCTGAGCTGAAGGCAGATGCTTAACGACTGAGCCACCCAGGTGCCCCTGATAGGTTGATTCTAAAATGTATACAGAAAAGCAAAGGATGTAGAGAACAACAGAAAGAACTCTTATACTTTAAGACTTACCATAAAAGGGTAGTAATCAAGGCAGTATGGTGTTGGCATAAGGGCAGACATATAGATCAGTGAAACAGGATAGAGAGTCCAGAAATAGATCCACACATATACGGCCAATTGGTTTCAACAAAGGTGCCAAGACAATTCAATGTAGGAAAGGATAGTCTTTTAAATAAACGATACTGGAACAATGGGACATTCCTATGTAAAAACAAAACAAAACAAAAAACCCCCCCGAATCTTAACTTTGCATTATATGTAAAAATTTACTTAAAAAGGATTATAGAACTAAATGTAAAACATACATCTAAGAAAACTTCTAGAAAAAGGCATAAAAGTCTGTGTGACCCTTGAGTTGGCAAAGATTCTTTATATAGGACACAAAAAGCATGAACTATACAAGAAAATAAATGATTGGGTTTCATCAAAATGAAAATATTCTGCTCCTTAAAAGACACTGTTAAGAAAGTGAAAATCAAAGCCACAGACTGGAAGAAAATAGCAGAAATATCCACCCAGAGACTTATATATGAATGTGCATAGCATCTTTATTCATAGTAGCCAGAATCTGGAAACAACTCAAGTGTCTGCTAACTGATAAATGATAATCAATGAAAATA